CAACACACTGCATTCTTGGTGACCTTTCAACACACTGCATTCTTGGTGACCTTTCAACACACTGCATTCTTGGTGACCTTTAAACACTCAGCAAAAGTTCTGAGTGTCCTATGAATTACACAATTTGTAGGGAAGAAAGAAAATCATTTTAAGACCTTGGGATAAAAACATAGCAGTTTGTACAAAGTGTGCTAAGAATGAACAGCTAACTTCGGGGTCTCAGGGCAGGTGTCCTTTGGATATGACATGGAGTTTCTGCTTGATGGATGAAGAAGGGTTCAGCAGTCAAGAAGACAGAAGAGGAACATCCCAGATTCTGTGCCAAGCACTTCAAGGGTGCCTCAGCACCCTTCTATGTCTCCTAATCCAAGTCTGTACCCTGTTTGATCAGAGACAGCAGCAAGATGTTGGTGGGAATGAACTGGAGCTGATGGTGCCCCTCAGAGCAGTCTCACTCAGACTAGCCTGCACTCCTAAGAACTCTTCAAGGACTCTACAAAGTTGCTCATAAAAGCCACTGTTGATGGAAGAAATAAGATGGGATTGGGTGTTCTTGGCAATCTGGATGGTTCCGGTTTCAGGTCTGGGAAAGTAGTGTCATAGAACTGGGCGCAGTTTCTGCTCAGGACAGGTGGCCGAGGATCTGACCCTGGAAGTGAGCATTCCTCTCTGAAACCTTGAGTTGATGGTGATCGGGTGAGATCTTAGTGGAAAGTAGCTGTCTAGGATAGAGGGAGCTACCACGAGGAACTGATGTGTGGATGGTCTTAAGTTCTGAGCTCATGGAGGGAGTGAGCGTGTAAGCACAAGTGAGTAAGTATTGTTGAGGACTTGGAAGATTGGAGACTGGAGAAACCAGTAAGCAAACTCTGGAGCCTGGAGACTGGGAGGTGAGATCCTCCAGGATGCTGAAACAGAAGGTGACCATACTCTGTTAGGAAACCGTCTTTGTTAAAGCCCGCAGAATCACAGAGTTCACCAGATCAAACGGTTCTCCTCCAGTGAAGCCAGTGAGCAGACACATCACCAAGTGAACATTGTTGGGTAGGGTTTTGGTGCTCAAAAGCACACGCACACATTCTGTTTTCTAAGACGCTGGGTCAGGCCTCCTATTCCATTCGTGCACTGGTCATAAATCCACAGGGCGCCGCCTTTCCTCCATCTATCAATACTTACTGAGCACGGCTTTGAGTTCAGTGGTTCCACAAGAAGGGAGCGCAGGTCCCTACAAGTGGAGATGAACAGGAGACAAGAAAAACGGCGCACGCTCTTGACTGTTACAGTGCTAAGAGAAAAGGAGAAGGACAGGAGTCATGGGCTCATGGAGATGCAGCTTTGGGTCAGGAGGCCAGGGAAGGTCTTGCTGAAGAAGGAACTTGTAGTAGAGATATGAAGGGAGGGCAGAAGAACAGAGTCATGCAGGTATCAGGTGGGAGAGCATTCCGGGGCAGTGGAATCTGGTGCACAGGGTGAGCACAGGTAGGAGACACAGGAGAGCGGCAGACAGGTGAGGGCAGTGGGAATAGGAAGGTACCTTAGAAGAAAGCTCTGGTGATCCAAGGTATACAGTCACAGCCTTGAAAACCCTACGGAGCAGTCACACTCTGCACATGCCAGGTCACCAGGAGTCTGAGCTAACAACGATGACATTGTGGGGAGCACGTCTGAAGAATGAATTAAACCCTCTGGCACAGTTGTGCTCCAAGGATGGCATGCCTTACACCTGACTTCATTTCGTCTGCTCCCATTCTGTTGGCCAGAGCCTGGTTGGAGGGCTTGGAGAAGCGGGCACTTGGAGAAGAAAGGAATGAACACAATCTTTGACTAGAAATGTCTCAATCGCTGGGACTTCAGGTCCCTTCCTTAAGTCCCTCTGAATAAAATGGGGGGAGGAGGGGGAGGTTCCTGGGTATTGCCTTATTAGCAACCAAGAAGATAGCATATGATTTTCACAAAAACCAACACATACAATTTGGTAAAAGCATGCATTTGGAGTAACCATTGGAGGCTTGGTTAGTTGCTTTTGCAATATTTAATTTTTTTTCTTTCAGAAGAAAAATAGTTTTTTTTTTTCCTTTAAAAACATTTGAGGAATTTTTCTCGTCTGGTTCCTACTCCCACCCCCAAATTTATTCTCAGTTATTTTTTTCGAAAACTACCCTGTATCGTTTTGAAATAGTAAAGAGTCAGTTGTTGTTGTGATGTGCCGTGGAGTCAGTTCTGACTCATAGCGACCCTGTACAGGGTTTCCGAGGCTGTAAAACCTAAATATTCAAGAGAGGATTTGTCAGGACATTCCAAATATCCAATCTGTTTCCAGTTTTCTTATATTTTGTCACTTTTATTTTTACACACTACTCAACAATGCATTTTTTATTCTAAAAAGTGATAACTACAAGTAATCCTGTTGTTTTCTCAGAGATAATTAAACCTAGATCAATGTCGTTCGTACACACACACATAATTATTTTCCTTAAAAATGAGATCATTTTATCTGTCTTCCTACTTGTGTGTGTGTGTGTTGTTGGGGGCCGTCGAGTGGGCCCTGCCTCGTGGTGGCCCAGTCCTGCACCAATCTCTCTGTTGGTGTTTGCACTGAGTCCGTTATTGTAACCAATGTGTCAGTCCATCTCGTGGGGGTCTTCCTCCTCTTTGCTGACCCTCTTTCCTGGGGACAGATGCCCAAAGTACATGAGACAAGCTCTCCCCATTCGAATTCTAAGGAGCACTGTGGTGTGCTTCTCCCAACACAGATTTATTCGTTCTTCTGGCATTCCCTGCTGTGTGTACTATTTTTTACCAAGCCCAGAATTCAAATGTGCTGACTCTTCTTTGTCCTCTGTATTCGCTGAGCGCAGGAGACGACTGCAAATGCTGAGCTTGGGTAGTCAGTCACATGTTAGTCCTCAAAGTGGCATCACTTAATCTGCAGAGATGCATGGATGGGTACAACTTCTAATCTAACTACACTTAAGCAATTGCACAAGATTTTTGTATTTAAATACATACCACTAAGACATTTGTTGTGGGTAAATGTCATCAAATCAGTTCCGACTCACAGCAGCCCTGTGTGGGGTTTCCGAGACTGTACATCTTTACTGGAGCAGAAAGCCTCATCTTTCTCCTCTGAGCGGCTGGTGGGCTTGAACCAGCAACCTTATGGTTCACTGTTCGTGGTCATTCTGCAGAACTAGTGTATAGCCTACTTAGACAAACGATTGGAAAATTGTTAGGTCTAAATTTTCAGTATTGCAAATAATGCAAAAGAGAAATCATTCTCTGAAAATAACCAAGACATGATAAAACCAAAAAAGGAAACTTTCCTGAAGAATTCTGAAAAATAATTTCTATGTGATGACCACATAACCTCATACATTTATACAGAAACCTAGCAATTAGGGACAAGTCCTTTCTGAATGCCAGCATGCTGCCTCAGAGCCCCAGAGCTGTGGGCTGTCACCTGAAGACACCGATGACGTAACCTCCCAGCTGGCCTGGGCCCTGGGGAGTGTGTGAAGGCCTCAGCCTCCCTCCTAGCCCAGCAAGGTCCTTGTTGACCCAGCAGAGCTCTGTGGTCACCATTTGCCTTCAGGTCCATCATGCTGCTGGCTGGTGTTGGTGTGTGTAGAAACCCTAGATAGAGGTTCCAAGGAGTAGCTGGTGGGTTTGAACTGTCAACCTCTCTGTTAACAGTTCAGTGCTTAACCTACAGTGCCACAGATTTTCCCCTGTCAAATCTTGGATGCTGTATTCCACAGGCGTTACTAATGGTATTTATATTCTCCCATATAAGGAGCACTGGTAGTGCTCAGCATAAGCACTGAGCTGCCAGGTCGGCAGTTCGAGCCCGCCAGTGCTCTGTGAGAGAAAGATGAGGCTTTCTGTTCCCACAGAGATTTACAGCCTCGGAAATCCTACAGGGCATTGACTCAAGGGCACACAGTACCACCAACCAGCAGCACAATGGAACTGAAGCCGAAAGTGACCACAGAGCTCTGCAGGATCAATTCCGATAGAATTTATATGAGTTTTGTTGAGTGGTGTTGGGTTTTGGGGGTAGTTTTCCACTTGAGGAATGTTAGGATTGCCTTACTGCTGCTCACCTCGCACCTTCAGTGTGCAGCGATTGCTGGACATGACTTAATGGTCAGCAGTTCAAGCCCCCCCAGCAGCGTCTCGGAACTCTGTCCAGGGTCACTATGAGTAGGAACGGACTCAATGCCACTCACTTAACAACAAGAATCTCTCTAATTGCTGGGAAACTTTGTGTCCACCCAAAACAAACCAGCACAGAAATTGGCAAAACGAAAACTTGGCATAGGATAGGTGGTCACACAGAGATTCTGTAAAAGAAGGAGACCGCCGTATGGCCCATTGATTCAGTGATATGGAAGAGCAGAGACCATGGCTCAGACACGTGATGCGTAAAACCTACGCTAGGAGAGAAAGAGCGAATGTGAGTGGTGTGTATTTGAGCCTTTGGCAGTTAGGACAGCTGTGTTTCAGTGTCCACGTTGCGTTAACCTTTACTCTTCCTTCTGTGTTTTAGTCTTTCCCTGGAACAGAGAGAAATCGGCTCTCAGGAAGTTAGGGTGCAGCGTGTGCTCCCCGTGAAGTTACTCAGGTGATGCCCCTCTTCCAGGCATCAACAAAAGAAGCGTAAATAGACACAAATCCATGTCCGTCCGGTGCCCTCACTTTAGTCTGGTGACAAGAAAAAAGCGAGATCAATAAAAAACAATGTGGTGTACTAGTGCCTGAGGGCGAAGGGGGCAAGGGGCGCTGAGGAAGGCTCTCTGCTCTCTGCTCTCGGTGGCTGACACCCTAGTCCAGACTGGGAGGGATGCAGGAGGGAGCAGGCAAACTGTGGGGGAAGCAGATGTGCAAGGGACAGGGCAGGGCGGTCCAGCCTGTTCCAGGGGCACCAGGGGGAGGAGGCAGGGCAGGCGCAGCCAGGGATTCCTTAGAGATGAGCCCGAGGCAGGGCAGGGAGGCAGAGTCCCCAGACTCCTGAGCATGAGCTTACAGACTTCCCTCTTGCTCTGGGGGTGGCAGGGGCAGGGGTTGGAGCAGGAAGCTATTGCCAGAGGCCAGGGGTAAAGGTCTGGGCTAGGGGAGTGTTTCTGTTCTGGAAATGATTTGAAGGCTATAGTTGTCAGCTATTCTTGAGTCGACTCAGATTCTTGGCAACTCCAGGAGTGTCGAGTAGCTGTGGACTCCACAGGATTTTCAGTAGGTGATTTGTGGGAAGTTGATGGCCAGGCTTGTTTTCTGAGGGCCTGTAGGTGGATTCAAACCACCAACCTTTCAGCTGGTTGTTGTTGTTAAGTACCGTGGAGTTGGCTTCCACTCATAGTGACCCTACACAGGGTTTCCAAGGCTGTAAATCTTTACGGGGGCAGACCGCTTCATCTTTCTCCTGCAGAACCACTGGCAGTTTCGAACTGCTGACCTTGAGGTTAGTAGGTAATCACACTTAATCCCTAGAGTTCTGGGAACTTGCTGAGGGGCCCTATGTGGGGAGGAGGAGGAGGAGTGAGGAACATGCTAACATTGCTGTCCCAGGAAGCTCAAGGAGGGGGACACCAGATTCTAGGGGAAGGCAAAGAGAGCCGTGTGGTTCCCTTAACTTTGAGATGCCCATAAAATGTAAACGGAGACAAAGAAGGTGGCTCTCAGAGTGGGATCATGGGGGTCATCCATGTAGAGATGCCATCAACATGACCTGGGAGCAGACAGAGAAGGACAGAGGACTGGGTCTCTAAGGAGGGCCAGAGAGGGGGTGAGCAGGAAGGCAGAGGGGAGACAAGTGTGGGATGTGGGCTTAGATGCCAGCGAGGAGGTGGAGTCGTGCTGTAGTAGACAGGTGGTACGCTGCACAGTGACCATGGTTGTAGGCAAGTGGGGGTTATGGGCACCTGAGGGTCAAGGGGGTGACGGAAAGAAGGCAGGCAGACGCTGGAGGTGACCAGCCATGTCCTCCTCCCTGGACGTCCAGCACTGAGTGGCCACCCTCACAATCATCCCAGAAGCTCTCCCTCAAGCTCCCACTGCACTTGGAGACTTGGGAAGAACTATGTCCTGGTGTGTGGCGTTGTGGGATAATGCACCGGGCTGATAGGTTGGTTTGAACCGCAAGGTCGGCAGTTCAAATTCACCAGCCGCTCCTCGAAAACCCTATACAGGGTCGTTATGAGTCAGAATTGACTCGAGGGCACCTAACAACAACAAAATGTTGAGCCAAACCCACTGCTATAGGGGCCAGTCCAGCTCACAGCAACCCTATGCGGCAGAGTGGAACTGTCATTGGGCTTTCTGGAAACACAGCTTCCTCCAGTACATGGGTTTGAACCAGTGGCCTGTGGTTAGCAGTCAAGCACTTTAACCACTGTGCCCCCAGGGTGCCTTTATGTTGAGCCAAATATGTCTCTCATGATTTTAATAAAAAGCCCTATGTGCACAGATCTGTTGTTGGTGAAGAGCTTGGGGCTTCATTCCCAGACTCCCCCAGGAGGCGGGCTCACTCCCTTGTGGAGAAAGTCGGAGAGAACATGTTGGGAGTGCTCTGGGTCAGAGAGCATTCCTTGGACTTTGTTAGGAGGCACCATCCTTCCACAGTGGGACTGAGGCCATCTCGCATGGTGGCTTGTCCACTAACAATGAGTCTTTCTCAAATGATATTGAGCCTTTCACTAAGCGAAGAGCTCTGGGGTTTTAATACTGTCTGTCTCTCTCTTTCTCTCTGCCAGCGCCTAGAAGAAATGCAGAAAGCAGTGTGAATAGACAGGTGAGCTTTCAACCAGCAAATTTAATTACAGGCGAAGGCCGTCCCAGTGTATGTCGACTCGGAGTGTGGGACACATTCCCAGAGATGCAGTGTCTACCACACGCACAGCCTGCTAGACCCGCAGCAGCTTGTGAGGGGCATCTAAGGTGTCAATGTGTTGATCTTTCAGGGTGGTAGGTAGAGATGGTACCTAAATGTGTGTATGTGTGTGTGTGTGAGTTTCAGGGTTTGAGATCTCTGTTGATCCTTCACTTTAGACAAATGCCTGAGCTCCCTCGTTTCTGTGGAAATGTAGCGCATTCCACATGTCTTGGTCGGAGCTCGCAGAAACCAGAGACGATGTGAAGAATGTGAATACAGAGTCTTCTGTTTTCAGTGGGGCATCCCAAGGAGACAAGTGTGAGGCCTCATGGGGATTTTGTATTTCCTGTTGTGTGTGTTTAAGGAGTCTGTGTTGTAAGATAAACACTGGACTGCGAACCTCAAGATCAGAAGTTCAGATCCACCAGCTCTAAGTAGGAAAAAGATGATGCTTCCTATTCCCATGGTGAGATACAGTACAGTGGAGTCCTGTATGGTGCTGTAGGGTAAGCACTGGACTGTTCATCATAAGGCTGAAAGTTCAAACCTCCCAGCTGCTCTTCAGAAACCATCTAGAGGGTCACTCAATGGCACATAACAGCAGCAACACGTGTTTACAAACACATCTGTGTGTCTCGGGCCAGCATCTCCTGGTCCCAGTTCAGGGGTACCGTATCATCTGATGAACAGGGGTTGATCCCCGGCCCCTCCCATGGAAAACCCAAACCAAACTTAGCCCACTGCTGCAGAAGTGACTCCACTCCTGGTGGCCCTACCGGAAGGAGTAGGACCACCCCATAGGGTCTGCGACTGAAGGTTTACAGAAGCAGACTGTCTCATCTGTCTCCTGAAGAGTGGCTGGTAGGCTCGAGTTGCCGACCTTGTGATTCACAGCCCAGTGCTCAACCCCTAGTGCCACCACACTCCTTCCTTTCTGCAGCCCACCCATGGTTGATGTGGGGGTGTCGTTTCTAAAGGTGAGCCCCGTGTTTGAAGGGGGACTCGAGACATGCAAGGCATTTTTCTCGGTTTAGTCCACGTTTATGGTTTTCACGTTTCAATCCTACCACAAACCACTCAAGCTTTAAAACAGAGCTGGGCTGAAAACAATTACCCCCCGGCTAAAGGCCAAAGACATGCCACGGGTGGTTTTAATTCAGTAACTGCAATCACAGGTACACGGTGTCTGTCACACAAAAGTACCTTAATTAAATGCAGTTCGAACGCAGCTTCCTATTTTAGCCTTTCCCTTTCTGCGGGGTCTGCCGAGGGGGTCCTGGGGTGAAATCCATCATGTGCAGACCATTGCTGGGCCACCTCTTCTGAAAGCTAGGGAAGTTTCTCCAGAGAAGTGCCAACCATGGAACCCTGTCACTCTCTCAGTGTTGGTAAATGCCATCGAGTCGGTTCTAACTCACAGAAACTCTGTATAGGGTTTCTGGGCCATGGCTGGTAGGTTTGAACCACCACCCTTGTGGTTATCAGTCCAGTGTTTACCTACAGCACCGCATCAGGACTCTCGGTAGCCACAACAAGAGACAGGGAGGGTCCATGGAATTCATAGAACATTCCAGAGCTGTCCAGAGAGGCTTCTCCAGTTAACTCGGACTCTTATCTCCGAAGTATGTGTTGGCTAAACCCTTAGCCCTTTCCTTTTCACTGTTTATTGTGACCAGCTTTTAAAATTAGAACCAGTTGCCACTGAGTTGCTGTGGACTCTTGGTGCCCCTGTGCTCCACGGGGTTTTCAGTGTCCGAGTTTTCAGAAATAAATCACCACAGTTCCTTCTGTGCTCCTGGGCAGACTCAGACCTCCAGCCGTTTGGTGAGCAGCTGAGTGCCTGACGGGCAGCTCCACCAGAGACTCTAGCTGTAACCGCTGGCACAGCTCTTTGAGTAATTGTCTTTATCCATTTTTAATTAAAGCAAAATGGCTCAGCAGGCTAGGCCTCTCTTTCTCCAGGAGTAGCCAGAGTCCACTGCGAAAGCTCCTGTGTTTTTCATTTACTTATTTCTCATAATAAAATGGACATGTGAATCAGCTTCTATTTGTAGGATCTGGAAGGCGAGTCTTTGGTGTTGTTAAGTGCCATCGAGTCAGTTCTGACTCCGAGCGAACCTGTAATGGTCCAGTGCATTAATCACACTGGTCTAGGAGACTGTAAATCATGATTCTATGCTATTTCTCCTTGTTATTCTAAATTGCTTTTACTTGAAAGTCAGGTTCCCGCAGCCTAAGAATAGCAATTTAGAGAATGGATTTTTAACATTGTATTCCTTTTTCAAGAAAGAGAAGAGTAAACAGAAAGGATGAATAGAAAACTGAAAAATGATCCAAAGTGGAAGCATAAATTTGAGTACGACACTATTTTGTGTAATGAATTCAAGGCGATAGGTGATTCTGTGGAATCCTTCAATGTTTGACTCAAGTGTGGCTTTCTCAACTGATATGTTTTCCCTGGTTTTTCTGACCTTTGAAGGTTGCCAATGCCTACAACGTTGTCCTTAGGCGTCCTAAACTTGATGACGAAAATGAACCATCCAATACGGGGACTTCTCAGATCTAAAGGATTCCTTTCGCTGTGTCCTCGCTTGTACACTGTCATGTGATTTTCACAGATGAGCCACACAAACTTCTAACATAGTGTCTCTCTCTCTGTTTCCAGCCAAGGAGGCAAGGATGAACAGCTCACGAATCCACGTCAGTTCCTAGACATGTGGGAGACTCCCTCACCAAAGAGCAATTAAAAAAAAAAAACAAAACAAAATACAATAGTATTTGCGCTTTGTACCTCAAATGTACCTTCACTTTGTCAAAATCAGATACACCTGTGAACACCTGGCTGGTTTCAAACACCCATCACATACAATGGCTGTGCCTAGCTTTGACCTTTGGCATCTGTAGTTGGTGGGGTGAGCTTGTAGTGCCTTTGGGTGGAACCCGTTGTGCCCTCCTTGGTAACTTGGTGGAGGTCCCAGCACTCGGCTGGTCTACCTTCCTAACTGGGACAGGCACGGATGAATCCATCCAAGTCGCCTTTATTTGAGACCTCCTATCTCTGCCACCTTGTTGCCTGTGGGCTGGAAATGCCATGTTTCCATGGAAGCGTGTAAAGTGTCGGACTACGCTATCCATGAGGGCTGGGTTTACTTCTTCCGATTTTATGTTATTTGGTCTTCTGTAGCTTTCACGAAATCTTGCTCATGCTCTGAGTTATGCAGCCACTAAGGGGCCCCAGGGGCCGGGGTAATGCGCTGGTAGAGAAAAGCGTCTTTCTAACTATTGCGCGTGCACCTGCCTTTCCACTGGGACTCCTGTGTGACTCTTGCCATGAGCTGGTTAGACCTAAACCCAGTGACAGGTAGCAAGTGGGGGGGGCCACATTTGGAAACGGAAGTCTGGTCATGGTGCAGTCCAGTCTTTAAGACCTGTGTCTGCCCTGTCTCCCTTACACCTGGCTTGGCCACTCCAGGGTCCACTGACATGTAGAAGGGCCACCTTCAAAGGACAGAGTTGAGCTAAACTGGGCTGGACTTGTAGAGCGTCAAGGATGCAATGGCCATATCTGTGGCACCCCCAGACCCAGACCCAGAGACCTGCCCTCTGAAGTCATCTGTAGCCTGGGATGAGGGTGCATGGGCTCCCTGTGAGCCCCCTAAATCTCTTTGACCCCAGGGCCCATGACTCCCTGCAAAAGGATATCTGTGAATATGCATGAAGCTGTTTGACAACGCTTATTCCTTATTTAACTGTGCAAACGTACACATGGAACCTTTGGCACCCCAAAGAAAGCCCATTTGCATGTCAGCATTGTTTAAGAAGTAAGTAGCTATGATCCTAAATTTGCTGGATAATCTTTTATATTTCAGAACTTTGAATTTAATCATTTTTTTTCCTTAGATTAAAATACAACATGCTATCCACACTGCATTTAGTCTCTTCTTTCCAGATTCTCATATCCAGCATGACCAAGAGGCACAGGGATGCCAGAGCCAGAGGCACTTGAATCCTGCCTCATCACTTAGTGGCTCTGTGATGTGACACTAGTTACTTAACCTTTGTGAGCTGGATGGTAAGGTGGTAGTTGTGCACCTCCTGGAATGGGGATCATGTGTTAAGAGATATGGGACAAATCCTGGTGTGTAGCACGTGCTAGGGCCGTGTGAACCCGGGTCATGTGAGCACACTGCTCAATGAGTGAGTGCTAATCTAGCAATCTTGAGCTGACAGATGCTGTGGGCAGCAAACCCATACAACCCACCCGTGTCAGGTCCTTTCCTACTCATAGTGACCCTAGCCGTAGGACCGAGTTGACCTGCTCCATAGAGTTTCTGAGGCTAGAAACCTTTATGGATGCAGACTGCCAAAGAGAGGCTGGTGGGTTTGAACTGCCAAACTTTCAGTAAGCAGCCCAGTGCTTAGCCCACAGTGCCATCAGTGTGACTTTTTGAGCAACAGAGAATCAGCAAAGGAGTATTCTATCTTGATAGCAGTAATGCCACTTACAGGAGTCCTGGGGCTGCAAAGGTCTGCGGTTCAAACCCACCAAGTGGCATTCTCATGAGAATCCCAACCTAAGAAACTCTGTGGCAGGTCCACTCTGTGCCACGTGGGACTGCTGGGATTTGGAATTGACTTGGCAGAGAATAACAGCGGTGCTGTTCGCTGAGTGATTCCACCAGAAGCCATGCGTGTGCCTCTTGCCTACTCCAGTACTGCATACTTGCTTAGTCTCTCATTTTGTTCTTCGTGGACCACCCGAGCAGCCTTGTAGCTTATCAGTTTCCTCTGTTGTTGGGGGCCCTTGAGTCGGTTCTAACTCAGAGTGAGCCCATATATGATGGAAAAAAACACTGCCCAGTCCTGTGCCATCCTCATAATCATTGCCACCCACCACTGTGCCAATCCATCTCACTGAGAGTCTCCTTCCTTTTCGCTGGCCCTCTACTTTATCAAGCATGATGTTCTTCTCCAGGGATTGGTCTCTTACAATCCAAAGTACGTCAGTGTGCTTCCTCTAGGATGCTTCATTTCCTCCTGAGAAATTCCTCTCTACTCAAAACCCAGTTCTTTTCATACCTGATGTTGAGTGGAAACAACAGAGGGAAAGATGGCTGTCAGGAACTGAACCTAGAGGAAGCAGTGCTTGCCCAGTTCTGGAGCAGATAGAGAGGAGAGCCATCGAGGAGCCTGAAAGTGTGGCCAGTGGCCAGAGAGTAGGGGTTGGGAGACATGGTGGGTGGGACACCGCTGGAGCAGATGGTTCTCATTAGAAAGCATTCAAAATGCAAATCGACAACAGGACTCAGCCTCACCTGCCTACCCGGTGAGGCTGATCTTAGTGAGCGTCCACTTGCTCCAAAACTTGCCCCACCTTCCTCATGTTCAAAATGTTCTCCTGCTTCTTTGGCAAACTGACCAATTCATAAGCCATACCCAAGAGTGTCCTTTCTACAGCTTAGAAGTTCTCAAGGTGAAAGGTGTCAACTTTCTCGGAATCAATGAGCTGACATGACTGACTTCATCATGAAGCATTACACCAACAACCGTGCCAACACCCAAGTTGTTCCAGAAAGAAAGCAATGATAGAAAGCTGGGCTTGGGGGCCCGAGATGGTGGTGGTGGCAGTGATGAGGATGATAGCGGTGATGATGCCATGGTGATAGAATTGATTGTGATGATGGTGGTGGTGTGATGACGGTGATAATAATGTAATTGTGATGATGGTGGTGATGGTGATGCAATGGTGATGTAATTGTGATAATGGTGATGGTATAATGATGGTGATGATGTAAAGATGGTGGTGGTGATGGTGGTGATGTAATTGCGATGATGGTGGTGGTGTGATGATGGTGATGATGGTGGTGTGATGACGGTGATGGTTTTGTGATAATGGTGATGTGGTGATGTAATGGTGATGATGATGATGTAATTGCGATGGTGGTGGTGGTATAATCATGGTGATGATGACATAATTGTGATGATGGTGGTGATGTCATTGTGACGATGGCAGTGGTAGTGTGATGATGATGATGACAATGCATAGACCACAGTTTGAAGAGTCTATTTGGACTGATGTGATTTTGAAAGATTTTTGCTCTTTCTTCATTCTGAGGAGTGTGTCAGCTATCTGTTGCTATCCTCATTCTGTGAATAAGTTGCCCCAAAACTCATGGCTTCAAACAGAAATCTTAAGTTTCCCCTCCTGTTAATGCTTCTGTGCTGCTGGACTGGCGAACCTGAGCTGAGCTCAGCTGACGGCTCTCCCTGGTCACACTGGAGACAGGTCTTCTCCACAGCTCCTCACCCTCATAGGCCCGCAGGCTCTCTAGGCATGCTCTCTGTCCAGCTGTGGCTGCGTCACAAGACAGTAAACCCAACTGCACAGACACATGTCAAGCCTCAGTTTTGACTTTTCTGCTGAGGTCACTGCACCAAATGTAGCCCATGGTTTAGAGTAAACAGAGAGGCAGGAAGTACCCTGCGTCCACCAGGAGGCCAGCTGCCACCAGTATGGACAGAACAGTGTTTTAGGGAAGGGAGACTCACAGCCAGGACTCCAGTGCACACACAGTACACACTCACCTGTATCAGCAGAACTTCAGGTTTAATGGAGCAGCTGACAGGTAAGGACAGGGCACAGATGTCAGTAGGAAGCATGAGTTGGTGAGAAATGCAGGGTCCACAGATGCATATTCCTACCCACATGATCATGCTTCCAAAATGCTTGGTACAAAACAGACATTCTACAGATGAGCTTTATGAACTCCAAGTTGGGTGTTGGGATTGTTCCCCAAGGCTCTAAATTTTCCTGTTAAAAGCATCTAAACAACAGAGAAGCATAGACCATAAAACCTGAGCAGTACATATTGGACTAGACCAGGAAGATTGGAACTTCCAGAAAAAGGAGCCTCCGTAGAGGTGCGGTGAGGAGACGTGGACTCTTACTCCTCTGTTGGTTAGCACAGAGTCGAGTTTTCTCAGCTAACAAGAACACAGACAAAATTCAATGCGGGAAAGTGGGGCCACCCCACCCTCATCAGTACTCCAAGCTCTTCAGGATCCGCTCCAGCATCTGTGGTTGACAGCTGTTGAGCCGCCCCCCCTGCACAATGCTATGAAACACTGGCCAGTCCTACATCATCACTATGATCCAGAGGCTTTTTGTGTACTGATTTTCAGAAGTCGATCTTGGTCCGTCTTAGTCGGCGAGCTCAGCTGAAGCCTGTTCAGCACGGTCAGGTGGTAGCTGTGCATGAGCTGCCTGGGCCAAGAACCAAACCTTGGTCTCCCCCAGGGAAGGCAAGCATTCTACCACTGAGCCACCTAGTAAGCTCGTTGCTGTTGAGTGATTCTAACCTAGGAAAGAGAAGAATTGCCCCATATAGTTTCAGGCAGTCTGACATCTGACAAGGTCCTTGAAGTGTAGCTGCCATCTCAGACACTTTCTAGTCTCCATGTCCTAAGATTTACACGGGCTAGGCTTTGACACTACCCGTGGAATGGATGCTGAAAATGCTCCCACAAACTCCATGGGCTTTTTTTTTTAGCAATAAATTGATTTTG